GCAAAGTGATGATTGACGTTAAGATGTGGCACCCTTAAGTAGAGAAGTTAGTACTTGTGCTTGTCCCTTTAACACGGAGATTGCAACACTACTTAATAGCACACAAGGTAATCATTCTAATGAGTTTTCCTTTGAAATAGATACTGTAGAAGCTTGAAGCATCTAGGAGATTGATGAAGTGCATGATAGAGATTAGTGAGTACAATGTAGAGTTTTGATTAAGCACTGTCATGAAGGGACAAGCAGTAGTAGACTTCATTGTTGAAATGATGTGTAAGGGGACGATCAAATATGAACATCATTGACACCTTCCTTGGACCCTATTTGTTGACAATCGTCCAACGAGAAAGGATGTGGGGTCGGTCTCCTACTCAGGTAACCGGCCACGAGCGCTTTGAATACACTATGTGATTCTCCTTTTGGACATCAAACAATGAAGCTGAATATGACTTGTTAAAGACGTTTCTAAGGGTCACCATTAAAATTGGCATTCGATATGTGTCGATACTAAGCAACTCTCAACTGTGGTCAACCAAGTACTAGATGAGCACCAGGTAAAGCAAAATATAATGGCGAACAACCTAGAAAATGTGAAAAGCCTACTTAGTTTTTTTAGAAGTGGGAAATTAAGTAGATCAAATGATCATGAAACTTCAATGTAGATGCACTAGCACGCCTCGTTGCCGCTTATGAAACAGACCTGTCTTGTGCTGTGAACATCAAAATCCTTGCTTGATCGAAAGTTTCCGAACTAGAGGTCGTGGATCTGAACAAAGCGAGGAAGTCACGTGCACCTTGATGGGTCCCATAAGTCGTTTCTTATGGGATAAGGATCTCCCTGACGACCTCTTGAAAGCCCGACGTCTCTAGATGCTAGTTGCACATTATAATTCTACAAAGGAAGGCTATGTCGCCATAGCTACTCGCTCGTGTTACGCTCCCAATAATATCGTCTATGTCATGAGGCAGTTCCATGAGAGAGTATGCGACAACCATTTGAGTGTCTGCTCCATCCCAATGAAAGTGATTAGACAGGGGCATTATTGGCGTACCCTACATGAATATGCAAACTATTCACCTGAAGGTGTGATCACTACCACAAAGTTGCCACCGTACATCCCAATGAAACTACTCAGATTGCTAATAAGCACAGCCAGCTCTTGACCGTCATGTAGTGGAGCTTCGACTCGATTGGAACCCAACCGCAAGGCAAAGAGCGAACCAATTATGTGCAGTGGCAGTCAACTCTTACACCAAGTAGGAAAAGAATCAGAACCCTTAGCGATGATCAATGTGCAAAAGATAACAAACTTTGTGTGGAGAAACATAGTGTGTTGGTTCTGCATACCCTACACCTTGGTATCTAACAACATGTTGAAATTTGACGACGCCAAATTTAAGGCATTCTACTCAAACCTAGGGATGAGGCACCATAGCTCACCGTCCACTCACCCCCAAGCCAACGACAAAGTCGATGCCGTTAACAAAATTAATAAAAAAAAAATAAGTTCAAAGCAAAGCTGAAAGGCTAAAAAGGGGCATGGACAGAAGAGCTGTCGAGTGTGTCGTGGGCATATCGAATGACTGCAAGTATCTCAACACGGAATACTTGGTTCTCTCCAACCTTTGATGCTAACGTGGTGGTCCACGTTGAATTTGGCCTCCCCAAATCTAGAGGGAAGAACTTTTGACACGAGAGGTAACAATGAGATCCACAGGCTAAACTTATACCTCCTAGAGGAATTCAGAGAAACGGCAGACCTTAGGGTTGCTGAGTAGACAATAAGGATCGCCTGGTACTATAATACCAAGTGAATCAGATATCCTTCAGGGTGGACGACCTCATGTTTGAAAGGTCATGCAAAACACTAAGGAGATAGCCAACAGAGCGATAGGCAAAACTTTGGAGGGTCCCTACCTAGTGAATAAAGTTGTTTACCAAGACACGTATACGCTCATAAAGTTAGAAAGGAGATAACTCTCCCACCTTTGGAACATGAGCACCTGCAAGCATAGTCCTAGTGAAAAAGGTAAGGACGCGCACTAAATGTTGGGTTTGTAAGGTGATTGCAAACAAAGTCCCACATTGACTAGGGAAGAGAATGATCATGGGTATATAAGAGAGGACAATTATCTCCATTGGAATAAGGCCTTTTGGGTGAAACCAAAAGCAAAGCTGTGAGGGTTATGCCCAAAGCGGACAATATCATACCATTGTTACCATTGTGGAGATACGTGGGGTACTCTAGATACCGTTGTCCTTAATAAGTAAATGCATTATCATTTTTTTTTCACAACACTAAATGTATGAAACTCCCTTGAACTAGGTTGTAACTTTTCCTTCTCTTAAATTTGCATTGAACATTTGAGCAAATAATCAAAGATTACTCCACTCAAATGCGGTCAGAGGATAAAAGAGAAATGGCAGGAAAGTAAACCGACCAAAGAAGCCTAAGAGTGAAAATCCAAATGGTGCAACGACAAAATAAAAAGGGAGAGCTCTTAGTTGAGACACCCTCCTCCACTATAAGCTGGAGAGGTGGGCCTCCCCTCGCAAGACTGAGTGAGACCTACTTAATAAATAGCCCAGAGGAAAACTTTCAAACCCATAAGCTGCAGGAGAAACGTAGAACCCACGATTGAAAACGTTTGTGCCCACCCAAAGCCTTTGCTAGGGTAAAGGTCGGAGGAACAAGCACTTCAGTCGACCAAGGAAGGCCACCCTTGCCATTGGCTCTAGGGACAACCTCGGGCCAAGGAAAAAAAAGAAGAGAAGTTAACTGGAAACGTAAAAGAGTAAGGCTAATATCCATGGTTGTTCATACATAAAAAGCCCCATCCCAATGCGATAAAAAGAGCCCATGATCAAGGCCTCTCACCTTTAATCGGAGCCTCGGGGACAAAAAATAGAAGGTAGGCCCCTAAGCTGGGTGCGGTCACGTCTGCCTAATATTCTTGAAATAACCCTACAGCCCGAAGGAAAAAAGATCTAACCATGTATTGACGAGGGCAACCCCAAAAGCTAAAAACTAAAAAGAAAAGCCTTGGCTAGAGAGTCAAGCTCGACCCCAAAACATCGACCATAACCCACGGGACAACCCCAAAGTCAGAACCGAGCGTGGGTACTCAATGAAACAAAGTTTGACCTCGTCCAACTCTTGCAAAAGGTAACGATAAAGCCAGTTAAGGTAAGTCTAACTCCCTAATGAAAACAAAAAATGATGGAACAAAATAAGTTGGACAAAAGAAGTCGAGACAACAATAGAATGGTCATAAAACACTATTCATTTTCTAAGAGCTACTTACAAAGAAGAAAATGCTTAATTGGCATGCGAAACTTGACCCCACTGATTAGGGCAGTCTGTAGTCCAAGGCAAGCCTAGCAACGACTCGCTCCATGTCTCGGATACTCTCATGAAGCTTCCAGCGTGAGAGACGTCTAAGCCTTTACTATCTGTTATATATAATTGTTTAGTTCGATTATATGGTTTAACACAAGAGAGTTTATCAGAATTACTTAATATATGTGTTGATGCACAAAAATCTGTATACAAAATTGGATTTGCTACAGCCATTGATAAAGCAGCCCTGGCCTTTGGTAGTTCTTTAGCTTGGTAAGGATGATCAAATCTCTTCCAACATTGACGTATGGAGTGATAAAATTTCCAATTTATTTGGCATTGCACACTTGATTGTTTGATATTTGAGTTATTGTGTTGTACTGTTGGGCTCCTTTTTTCAGGAAGTTACTTTGTGGTGATTGGCTTGGGGATGTGATTTATTTAATATAGGATTCCTTCCTTGATATTTACCTCTTTCCTTTGAGTTGTAGCTCCTTCCTCCCCTCTAAAGTTTCCTTTTTGAGCATGGAAGACTTGACATTGATTAGTAGTATTTGATTTTTCTTCTTCTGCAGTTTCGAATATAAGTTTGAGCTCATTGTTCTTCAATGCAGCTGCAAATTAATTATAAGTGGGAAAAGTGGATTTCACAGCATAGCCACCCTGAAATCCTTGTATTTGTTTCCCAAGCCCCTTATCAAATGAAAGACCTTTCTTGTCTCGTCTATAGGTTTCTTCAAAGCTGTTCAACTCATCACAAAAACTCTTGAACTGTTTCATGAAATAATCAAGGATGAGACATCCCATTCACTATAATCTGAGTAGTGCTTCATTAAGATGAAGCTTTGTTTCTTTGGTGAGAGCGAGCAGCTGTTCTTCCAGAGATTTCCATATTTAATGTGACGCGTTAGTGTTTTCAAGCATACTTAGTACCTCCTTCAAGATGTGAGCAGTTCGTTGTTGTTTGATTCGGATTATGTGTTACGGATTTTTTGCCTTTTCTCCTTGATTGTCCATATAACATATTCTTCTGATGGATGATCACTTAATAAAAATGTTGTTTGACTCCCATCGAGATGAAGGAATATTGAGATTTCCATAGAAGATAGTTGTTGGAGTTGAGTTTGATTGATGTTAAACTTGAAATTGATTAAAATATTTGCAGTGTGAGATTGACTTGAACTTTTTATCCAAATTAAATATTTCCATACAAGATATTAAGCTTGAGTTTCATTTGAGTTCCTTTAATCAAAATTGAGTTCAACTATACAACCTGACTTCCTTTCATATAATTCGGATTTAATCTAAAATTTCTCTTTACTTAAAGTGAGTGGAACGAACTCCTTTTAACGTGTGAATTGTACTCCTTGAATGATTCATATAACAATACATAATTAACCATACTCGGTAAGAAATTAACCTTATAATTTTTTTCAAAGTAATTATATACATAAACAATAATAGAAGACTTTGACTTACAAAACTACAAAAAACGACCAATATCATATCATTTTATAGCTATGTTGATCAAGTCGACAACTAGTCTAATTTTTTTTTGGTTCATTTTGTAATCTTTGTATTATCATATCTTATCTCATTCAAATCTACTATTTTAAGAGGCTTGATTAGTGTACTAATTAAGAAAATAATCTATGGCAGGGTGGAGGTATTGAGGTTAAAGTCAATGGCAGGAGTAGCAAAAGTTGGAGGAATAGTTATTTGTGTGGGTGGTGTAGTGATGTTGGCATTCTACAAAGGCCCTCAACTCACATTCTTTAACAATCATCACCTCTTTCATATCCACAATCATCATCAATATCCACTTCATCAAAACAATTGGATTAAGGGTTGCTTCTTCATGCTAGGTTTTAACGTCTTATGGGCATTGTCACTTGTTCTTCAGGTAATAATTATCTTGAATTCTCTCCCAAAATTTGCTTCCTTTTAAGCCTTGGTTGATAACTATTTTATTGTTGAGATATCTCAATTCATGAGTTTAAGTTTTTAGGTAGAGTGGTGATTTATTTATCTTTAAGATGGTATCAGAGTGGGAGATCATGTTCTAAATCACTAATCCATGAGCTCAAGTTTTTGGGTTGAATAGTGGTTTGTCCATCCTGTTTTTGGTTTTTAATTTTTTTTTTCACCTCCTTTATAAACATCTTTTAATCCTAGCAAAATTCTAAAAATAAAAACAAATTTTTTGAAACTATTTTGTTTAGCATTCAAGATTTGGCTTAAGAATGTTTCTCTTTTTCTGTTTGTTTTTGTTGAAAACAGGCCTTTGTATACGAAAGTTATCCTTCAACACTTCTATTCACTAGTCTTCAATGTCTCGTAAGCTCATTTCAGTCCTTCATTATTGCCATTGCAATGGAGAGAAACCTTGACCAATGGAAATTGGGTTGGGATGTTAGACTTCTTACAGTAGCATATTGTGTAAGTCTTGCCAAACTCTTTCTTTTATGTCTCTCTTTTCTTCCTTGACTATTGAAAATAGATCTCATATATAGAGATTAAATGTCGTGATTGCAATAATCTATATGAGATGTTAAAATTCTACTACCAATCATTTTGATTCGGAACATGCATAATCATATAAAAATAGTGGAATCTTAAAAATTTTAACTAATACCAATTTGGTATTTGCTAAAACACTCCAACAAACAAGTTAGGTGGTTGATGTTGAAAAGAGAAAGGATAATAGCAAATTAGCATATTTAAGAGCAAAAATGCATATTTTGGAGTAGGAAAACGCCTTGATGTGAGGTAATATAGAGGGTTTGAGCCAAGCACTAAAACTTAAACAAGTGACTTAGTCATACAATATTTGAGTAGCAAAGTCAGATTTGAGAATTTGCCAATGGAGTTTGAAAGCCTCAAAGTCAATGTTTGACCTCAAAGTCAATGACCATATTGCTAAGTCTCTAGAGCACAGGAGCATTTAAGGCTCTTCTTGGAACTAAGTAGTATTTAAGATTTTAATAAATGAATCTGAGAGTCTAATTAGACTTGGTTAAAATTATCTTAAGTTACAGAATAAGCCCTAGAATTTAAATTGTGTCATTGAAGAACTTGCACAATCCTAAAACATTCCTAATTTATCAATGATCCGAAGGAAGTTACAAATGCAATGAAGTTTGGAGAATGGATTCATGGCTTTGGGAGCAAGGGTTTGAATTCTATAGTGACCACCTACTTACGATAAAATCGTATTATTTTTCAACCACCCTAAATTGTAAAGTATTGTCGTCTGTCCCGTGTGAGAGTTGTCAAGATGCGCATGTTGACTTCGATAATCATAATATTTAAGAACAATATTTGAAGTTTAGTTTTCACTAGTAGATCCGAAGAACTTGCAATTAGACATAGGTTTTTGGTTCTTACCAAAAAAAGATCTCTCATTTTCTTTTTACGAGACAAAACCGATAGCTAGATCTTTTAGGACATAAAGTTTCTGTTGGGGGTAAAAATATAACCTATCATGTGGTGAAATATAGCCGAGCTCCTAAGCTCATCTACCGTCGAGCTACTACGCTCATCTACCGTCGATATCCTAAGCTCATTTACGGCCGAACTACTAAGCTCATCTACTGTTGAGCTCCTAAGCTAACCTACTGTCGATTCCCTACGTCGAGCTATTAAGCTCATCTATCAATGAATTCAGGCCCCTGAGTTGTAATGTTCGACGATCTTGTAGAACAGTATAGAGTGGTTTAAAAACCTAGGAACAGTCCTATAGTTGATGGGATGGGTAACTACCTAGTCATCTCCTATAAGTGCATCATCACTCCACTCAATAAGGTATGCCATTCTATCCTGAAGCTGAACTATTCATCTCGAACTCATACTAACTTGAGCTTCGTATTTTTTTCCTCCTTTTGTAGACTTCCCTCATCCAGATCGTTCTGTGGCAACTCGCTAGAGTGAAGCTCATGTCAATCTTCGAATCTTGGAAGAAAACAACCTCAATATTTGGCACCATTTGTGGGAATCGAAAATTTGAAGTCATTCCTACCAAACCAAGTTATGACTCGTATAGTTTCTCAAAGTTCTTGTATTTCTAGAAGTCAGGAAGATCTTCAAAGCTCTCAAGATCTTCTACTACCAAAAGATTTTCTTAATCAAGATCTTTGTTGGAGTACAACCTTATTATCAAGGATGACCTTCCCCTCAAGTAAAACCTACTCTAGGAGGAAGACCTTACCATCGGGATGACCTTTCCCTTCGAAGAAGACCTTCCTGTCGAAGACGACTTTCTATCAAGGGAGGCCTACTCCAGGAGGAAAACTTTATAATCGAGGATGACCTTCTCCTTGTTGAAGACATTTCCCTCAACGATGAGTACTTTCTCAAAAGGAAGACCTTATCATCGATGAAGAACTCACCTCAACTAAAACGATGATGAGCTTCCATTGACTCAAAGGACGACGTCTCATGAGAGAGATCCTCTTGGCTTCAAGGACGAGCTCACGTTGCTCACCTAAACCTCAAGGATGAACTTCCATCGACTCAAAAGGTGAGATCTCACGAGATAGGTCATCTTTGCCTCCAGAAAAAGCTTAAGGTAGATAGCTCATCCCCACCTAACGGAAAAGCTGTAATTTGAGCTGATCATTATTTAAAGCAAAAGTTTTCGCTAGATAGGTCTTCCATAACCAATGGACGAGCTTCCATCAGATAGCTCATCCCTACCTAAAAGGAGAGCTTGAGCTTATCACCATCAAGAGGAAGAATTTCCTTCCGATAGCTCATCCCTGCTTAAAGGGAAAGCTTCCATCTGACCTCATCACCATCAAAAGAAAGAGCTTTTGTAAGTTAGCTTATTCTTGCTTAAAGAGAGAACTTTTCATCTGAGATCATCACCATCAATAGGAAAAGCTTCTGTTAGATAGCTCATTGTCACTTCAAAGGAGAGCGTGTAGTTCAGCTCACCGTCGTCTAGAGGAAGAGCTTCCATTAGATAGCTCACCGTCGCTTTAAGGAAAAGCGTCTATTAGATATTTCATTCTAGCTAAAGTGAAATGCCATCAAACAACTCATTTAGGTCTAAAATGATGAGCTCCTATGAGATAGGTCATCTCACCCAAAGAAGAACTTCCATTACATAGCTCCAGTTTGCGTTAAGGAATTCACGAAGAGAAAGCCCATCTCGACCTCAAACCTGGATGATCTATCAAATAAATAACCTCTGCCACAATGGTGAGTCCCACAAGATAAATCACTTCTTGAGGCACGAGCTTACATCAACTAAAAAAGTTGAGCTTTGACAAGATAGGTCATCTCGACCTCAAGGATGACCTATCAGATAGCTCAGCTCGACCTCAATGATGAGCTCACATCATACAGTTCACATTGACTTCATGGATGAGCTTCCATCAACATCAATGATGAACTTTCATCAACTCGAATGATGAGCTCTCCCGAGAGAGAGCTCAATCACATAGCTCACTCGAACTTAGGCATGAGCTTATTAGCTCAAAGGCTAAGCTCTCATTGGAGAGCGTTCACATCACATATCTCGCATCAACCATAATGATGAGCTATCACAAGACAGGTCATCCCAATCTCACGGATGAGCTCTCATCAAATAGCTCACCTCAATTGCATGTATGAGCTCTCATTAACCTAAATGACGATCTCCCACCATATAGCTCACATCAACTTCAAGGATGAGCTCTCATCAAATAGCTCACCCCTGAGCTGTTGGGTTTGTAAGGTGATTGCAAACAAAGTCTCACATTGACTAGGGAAGGAGGTAATCATGGGTATATAAGAGAGGACAATTATCTCCATTGGTATGAGGCCTTTTGGGTGAAACCAAAAGCAAAGTCGTGAGGGCTATGTCCAAAGCGGACAATATCATGCCACAGTGGAGATACTAGGGTATTGGGGGTACCATTGTCGTCAAAAAGTGGTATCAGAGCCACGGTCTAAAAACCTAGCTATGTCGGTGAAACCTTGGGTGTTGAACAAAGAAGTTGTGAGCCTTAGAAGGTGTAGTTATGGTGTAATTCATGGGTGTGCTCTATCAAGGTATGGCGGAAGCCTTGTATAAAAGCAAAACTCTCGTTTCATATCCGAGAGTAGACAAATGAGTGACTATTTGAGGGGAGGGGAGGATCATGGGTATTGTTTGCAATCATCTTACAAACCCAACAATCCTCCCCTCGAACAAAGTACCACCCGAGCCTCCCTCAAGTAGTCACTCACCCGTCTACTCTCGGACCTGAACGAGAGCTTGCTCTTATCCAAGACTCCAAGCACACCTTGATAGACCACACCCACAGATTACACCATTGCCACACCTTCCGAGGTTCACCACTTCTTTGTTCGGTACTCGAGGATTCACCAACACAGCTAGGTTTTAGACCATGACTCTGATACCACTTGTTAAGGACAATGGTACCTCGATTACCCCATGTATCTCTACAATGTATTATATTGTCCGCTTTGGGCATAGTCCTCACGGCTTTGCTTTTGGTTTCACCCAAAAGGCCTCATCCAAATGGAGATAATTGTCCTCTCTTATATACCTATCATCATTCCCTTCCCTAGCCAATGTGAAACTTTTTTTGCAATAACATTACAAACCCAACAATCTCATCACTTCAACTCCCACTGACTCATTCTAAATATCACAAAAACTTAGCTAAACTAGTTCTAAAGTACGAAAATGAACCAAAGAAGCTAAAATAGTGCTTTAGTAATTAAAACCAAAAAATTTATTGGCATGAGTCGCACGGAAAAGAGGATAAGGTGCAAACACATCAATAGCAACACGAAAGAGAGGTAACGATTATAAAAAACTTCATAATTAAATACAGATTTGAATCAGAAAATAGAAATGAGATTATAATAGAATAAATAGAGGCATTACCTTGCAATGGATAGTGATGAGGCACTTCCCTTGCACGATATGTCAATTGCCTGCAAAAAATAGAGAAGTCTTCCATTCTCGAAAATTTATTCAATTCGAAATGTAGAAGAATGTGGAAGATTTAGGTTATTTCAAGGTTTGGATGAAGAAGAAGGAAGAAATAAAAAATATAGCTCGAGATGCTCATATTACTTAAAAAAGATAAAATTAGCGACAAGAAAAGTAAGGTTCATACCTCAGAAGAAATTAAAAAGTGGCAATGAATAATGGCGACAACA